CCGCTGCCTCGGATCTCGCCGGGATGCTCTGGATCCGGCGTCTCCCTGCACCCACCGTGTCGTCCTCCCTCTTTGGAGATTGGATCCACCATGCCCGACTCGTTCCTCGCCGTCTGTCGCCTCCCCGCGTCTTCCTCTCGCCGGGAACCCGCCCTGCGCATCGCACGCCGGTCAGCTCTCTGGCACCGACCGTCCTCGTTCGTCAACGCCTGCCTCCCCGGTCCAGGCGGGATCGGGAGGAGGACGTCCTCCACGTGGGCCTCTGCGGCCCAGGATCCACGGATTGCTCCGGCCGGCCTGCTTTGCCAACGGGCCCAAGGCCCAGGGTGAGCAGCCCTCGAGCGCCCCCTCCTCTTGATTTTTTTCCTTTCCTGTTGGCCCAGCCAGATGCGGCCTGTGTTATTTTTTTCCCTGCACTGCGATTTTAGCTATTTTCCAGAGAACGCCTGTTTGAAAGCCCCCTAAACTTCATGCATTTAATAACTCCACAACCGTGCATCGGATCTAAATAAATTATATATGAAACTTGCTTAGAATTTTGTCTAGATTCATAATATCCAACTTTCATCCATGTTTAAAATGTTGTTTGATTAATTTTGCCCCTATGTCATGTTAAAATGCTTTAATTCATAACTAAATAACTGTAACTTGGAATTTAATAAATTTTATATGTAAATGGGGTAGAAAAATGCCTAGTTTAACATGATGCACTCACCTAGCATGTTTAACAACTCTAAAATTGTGTTTAGGGCAGAACAGTACCAAATCTATAATATGCTCATGAGGAGTTTCCGGAATTGTTGTTCGTTGCTTCCGGCCTCATTTAACCTTGACTAGATAGGTAGTTTTCTTTTGCTTCATCTCTTGCCATGCTAACAACATTTAATCTTGTTGGGTACATAAACGAGAGAGAACTAGATAAGTCACGTGGTGTTTTCGTCAATATGCAACGAAGTTGCATATTGTGCTCCACTTAATTTGTAGAATTGTTTGTGCATTTTTGCCATGCCATGCTTCATTAAACCGGACATGCATCATACTTGATTGTGCATCATGCCATGTTCATGTCGTGGTTGTTTACTATGTTGTTTGCTTCTTTCCGGTGTTGCTTCTTCGAGTTGGTTCCGGTATCGTCGTGCTTGTGAGGAACCGTTCGTCTACGTCCGTTTGTCTTCTTCTTGGACTCGTTCTTCTTCCTTGCGGGATTTCAGGAAAGATGATCATACCCTCAAAATCACTACTATAATTGCTTTGCTAGATGCTCGCTCTTTTGCTATGCCTATGCTGTGATACCTACCACTTGCTTATCATGCCTCCCATATTGTTGAACCAAGCCTCTAACCCAATTTGTCCTAGCAAACCGTTGATTGGCTATGTTACCACTTTGCTCAGCCCCTCTTATAGCGTTGTTAGTTGCAGGTGAAGATTGAAGTTTGTTCCTCGTTGGAACATGGAGATGTTGTTCCTTGTTGGAACATGTTTACTTGTCGGGATATCACAATATATATTATTCAATTAATGCATCTATATACTTGGTAAAGGGTGGAAGGCTCGGCCTTATGCCTGGTGTTTTGTTCCACTCTTCCCGCCCTAGTTTCCGTCATATCGGTGTTATGTTCCCGGATTTTGCGTTCCTTACGCGGTTGGGCTATAATGGGAACCCCTTGACAGTTCGCCTTAAGTAAAGCTCTTCCAGCAATGCCCAACATTGGTTTTACCATTTGCCACCTAGCCTTTTCTTTTCCCTTGGGAGTCGCGCTCCTGAGGGTCATCATTATTTTACCCTCCCGGGCCAGTGCTCTCTGAGTGTTGGTTCAACTTGTCAGCCGCCGGTGGCCACCAGGGGCAACTTTGGGCTGGCCTACCGGAAGTTTAGACAATCCGGTGTGCCCTGAGAAAGAGATATGTGCAGCTCCTATCGGGATTTGTCGGCACATTCGGGCGGTGTTGCTGGTTTAGTTTTACCCTGTCAAAATGTCTTGTTGTATCGGGATACCGAGTCTGATCGGAATGTCTCGGGAGGAGGTCTATTCCTTCGTTGGCCGTGAGAGCTTGTGATGGGCTAAGTTGGGACACCCCTGCAGGGATTTGAACTTTCGAAAGCCGTGCCCGCGGTTATGGGCAGATGAGAATTTGTTAATGTCCGGTTGTAGATAACTTGAACCTTAACTTAATTAAAATGAATCAACCGCATGCGTAACCGTGATGGTCTCTTTCCGGTGGAGTCCGGGAAGTGAACACGGTTGTTGGAGTTATGCTTGACGTAGGTTGTTTTAGGATCACTTCTTGATCATACTTTCTCGAACGTGCTTTGCCTTCTCTTCTCGCTCTCATTTACGTATGTTAGCCACCATATGTGCTAGTCGCTTGCTGTAGCTCCACCTCATACCTTTACCTTACCCATAAGCTTAAATAGTCTTGATCGCGAGGGTGCGAGATTGCTGAGTCCCCGTGGCTCACAGATTCTTCCAAAACCAGCTTGCAGGTGCCGTTGAACAGAGCAGGTGACGCAACCAAGCTCAAGGAGGAGCTCGATGAAGATCTGTCCTTTGTGTTGTTTTCGTTCTAGGTGATCAGTAGTGGAGCCCACTTGGGGTCGATCGGGGACCTTTGTCGCATTTTGGGTTCTTCTTTTATTTTGGTTCCGTAGTCGGACCTTGATTGTATTTGGATGATGTAGTGTTTTATTCATGTATTGTGTGAAGTGGCGATTGTAAGCCAACTATGTTACTCTTTCCCTTATGTATTACATGGGTTGTGTGAAGATTACCTCACTTGCGACATTGCTTTCAATGCGGTTATGCCTCTAAGTCGTGCTTCGACACGTGGGAGATATAGCCGCATCGAGGGCGTTACAATTACGGCCAGAGTTGATACGCTCAGACATGGGTATATTTGGAGAGTTGGTGATGGTGAGAAAATTAGCATATGAGATGATCCCTGGATACCTCGTAGCCCAACAAGAAAGGTGATTTCACCAAGGGGCAACAATCTTATTTCTAGAGTTTCTGACCTCATTGATCCGGTGACAGGGAGTTGGGATGAGCAACTGGTTAACCAAACGTTCTGGCAAGTGGATGTTCAAAGGATTTTGGCCATTCCACTACCATTACATGAGATGACATATTTCCTGGGATGGAACATGACAAAGTCAGGGACTTTCACGGTGCGATCTGCATACCATACAGAATGGGAATTTCAATTTGGGCACAAGTTGGAATCAACGGCTGGAGCTTCAAACCCATCTTATACATGGGACTCGGTATGGAACTTAGTCTGCCCAGCAAAGATAAAAATATTTATGTGGCGCACGCTCCAGAGTGCTATTCCTTGTCGATCTATCCTGGCTAATAAGCACTTGAAAATAAATCCGACTTGCCCAGCCTGTAACCAGGGGCCTGATGACATAAGACATATGTTGTTCGAATGCAAATTGGCAATGGAAGTGTGGAAGATGCTCGGTCTTGAGCTTGTTATCAAACAGGCACTGAAAGTTGACAAGGCAGGTGAGCTTGTGTTGGCACATTCTGTGCCTTCCAGAACAACAAATCCAAGTGTTGGGCTTGCCAAAGTTCAGAGAAACGATGGCAACGACGGCTTGGTATTTGTGGTATGAAAGGCGAAAATTGACACATGACGAAGAAACTCAAAGTGCATATCAAATCAATATGTCAGTGAGAGGCTTAGTAGCAAATTATACCATCTCTTACAGCCCAAAGGCTCACGTCCGTTCAGATGCTTGGTTGAAACCAAAGTATGGTTACGTGAAATTAAATGTTCATGCGGGATTTGATAGTGACACACTCGAAACAACATTTGAAGCAGTTATCCGGGACCATAGGGGAAAATTTATAGCGGCTATTAATGAAAAGATGGACCTTTGCTTCGACTCGTTCACAACAGAAGCAATTGCAGTGAGGTTTAGTTTGAATCTTGCTAATACCGTCGGATGTAGTAAGATTGAAGTGAATTCGGATAGCGTGGAGGTGGTGAATGTGTTGAGGCAAGGCTACTCTTCTTCAGTCGCTTCATCCATTATAGAGGATTGTTATTTCATGTCATTAGGTTTTTCTCATGTCATTTATGATCATTGTAATAGGGAACGTAATCGAGTAGCTCATTGCAAAGGTTAGCTAGGTTTTCTTCTCCGAGTGTCTGAATGGATAACGTCCCTAATAAGGTTATCCCTTTACTTGTAGACGATGCTACTTTACTTATGAATGAATAAAGGAGAAGAAGTTTATAAAAAAAGTGGAATTGATATTATCCTTTAAGATAAATAAAATAACAAACTAAAAACTAAACAAATAATGACCAAATTTACACACAATTTACACCTAAATTGTGTTTTTTATAGTATGCTGGATCGCCGGCGGTCACGCGCGCCAAATAGTTGTTTTTTCCAACGCGCGGCTAATCTAGCGCTCCTGCTGGAGTCCTCTAAGGACACGGCACAAACTCGTCGGTTCCATGCTCGACCAATCAAGCTTAGAATAGAACAAGGGTTATCTTCTCACCCCGGGGCTTGAAGTGGTGTTCCAATAAAGTCACATCAGCCAGTACGTGCCAGCAGACTGTGTCCGCAAAGGCGCCGGTGTCACAGATCAACGTTATGACAGGTCCGGTCGTCAGCACGCCGGAGCTGAATCTGACTCCTCATATACCTCCGAAGCCGAACCCATGCTCCAGATCGCCCTCATAACACTTCTGAAGATGCCAGTGGTTTACGGGCCCGTAAACCCTTATCTGTCTGCCACCAGGAATTGCCATCAGCGAACGAAAGCTGATGGCATCAAATCAGTCGGAGTCGCATGTGCTAGCACGTACTAGCCGAAAATCCTACACGTACTAGCTGATAACACAAAGGACTCCGCCCACTTTCAATCTTCAGAACAAAAGAGAGACTGGCTTTTTAGCCAAAGCTCAATCTCAGCATTTTACCACTGGCGCCTGGATAGGTGAGATATCGTGATAGTAGTCTAGTATAGCAACGGACGCAAATGGCAGACTACTCGCGTGTTAGGGTCGTCAGTCGGAGCCTCGTCAAGGCGGCCGGCACCGTCACGCCGCGCATCCTCGCCGTTTCCAACCTCGACCTGCTCCCTCGGCCCATACCGTCCTTGCTCCTCTGCGCCTACCGCAAGCCCTCCACCGGCTGCTTCGGCGATGTCGTGGCCATCTTCAAGGCCAGTCTACCGTCCCTGCTCGAGCACTTCTTCCCCCTCGCCGGCCGCCTCGTGTACAGCCCGCGCTCCGGGGTTCCGGAGGTGCACTGCGACAACCAGGGCGCGGAGCTTGTCGTCGGTGAGGCCGGCGTGGAACTGGCGAGCCTGGACTATGGCGCGCTAGGCGCGTCGCTGGCGAGGATCGGCGCGCTCGTCCAGTACGGCGCCGACGTCGTGCTCTCGGTGCAGCTCGTGTCCTTCGCCTGCGGCGGGTTCACCGTCGCGTGGTGCTCCAACCACGTGGTCATGGACGGGTACGGGCTGTGCATGCTCGCCAGCATGTGGTCCGAGCTCGCGCGGTCCGGGAGGATCGACACCACCCGCGGCGGCGGGGCCCCCAGCTTCGACCGCTCCGTGCTGCCGCGCCCCCGCGCCGCGCCGTCGTACAGCTCCTCGCTCAGCGAGGCGTTCACGCCGTTCGAAGGCAAGCATCTGGTTAACTCGCTCACGGCCGAGAGCTACTGCGTCACGCGCCTGTACTACGTCGAGGAGCGTGATATCGCTATGCTGCGCGCGCGGGCGAGCGGGGAGGGTGTCGGCGAGCGACGCGCGACCCGCCTCGAGGCGATGTCGGCGTACCTGTGGAAAGCCTTGGCCGCCGTCGTGGCCGCGTCCGGCTCCGACGAGACCTGCCGCATGGGCTGGTGGGTGGACGGGCGGCGGAGGCTGAGCGTGCCGGGAAACGAGGCCGCGATGCGCAACTACGTCGGCAACGTCGGGACGTTCGCGCTCGCGGAAGCAGCCGTGGAGGAGATCCGGCGGCGGCCGCTCCCGGAGGTGGCGTCGATGGTGCGGGAGGCGATCGCGGCGAGGGCCACCGAGGAGCATTTCCAGGAGCTGGTGGACTGGGTGGAGGAGCACAAGGGCGGCAGGTTCGCGGAGACGGCGACCGTCGGGCTGGGCAGCCCGGCGTTGGCCGTGACGTCATTCGCGTCGTTCCGCCTTCAGACGGACTTCAGCTTCGGGCACGCCGCCCTGGCGATGCCGATGATGCTCGCCGGGACCGGGAGGCTGTGCGCCGGCTTCGTGAAGATCGTCCCGCGCCCCGGAGGCGACGGCTCGTGGGTCGTCAGCATGGTGGTGTGGCCGAGGCTCGCCGCCGCGCTCGACTCTGACGAGCCGCGCATCCTGAGGCTGGTCACCGCCGAGTACCTCGGCCTCAAGGCAGAAAACCCGTGTAGCCGGCTATGATCACCCTTGGCTCGTCGACGTGCCCTTCCTCCTCTCCGACACGAAGGTGCCGCGCCTCTCTACCTGCTCCTAGTCCGCCGAGCATCGCTGGTGTGGGACGCCGGGCTGGAGCAGTACGCCGGCGAGTCGGCGACTACGCGTGGTGTGCGCTTGTCCACTGGCACGGGCCGTACGGGAGGAACTTGTTCCGCGGCTTCCCGGCAGCCAACTCGTTGCCCACGTCCATTTATCCATTCATCGATCCATGCAAATAAAAACCATGCATGGTCTGTTGGCGGCTGCTTGGGTCCTGGGCGGGTACATGAGACATGTTGATGCTGCCGATAATGTTCAGCTCTCTACATTTGCCGGCGGGCACGGCTTCAATCGCTTCCGGTGGCCATGGTGTGGGCTCTCGTCAGCGGGTGTGCTCCACCGTCGGTGCGGTCTGTGTGGTAGACACTCAGTCCTGTGTCAGTGCACTCATTGCTGTGTGCGGTGGCCATCGAAAAGTCTTTGTGAGGATTACTTCCTCTGGATTCGGTGGTTGCTACGTGTGGCTCATGCTGGTGACAATGCGTGATTTAGCCAGAAAGCTTCTTTGTGAGTTTTGGTTGTTCTCATCTTGTTGGTCTGCTTTAGGCGATGGGTTGCAATCTATAGCAGCTGCTTGACGCAGAATAGTGCAACAGCAGTAGCAGGATTTCTAACCCAACACATGTGGTTGCTTGGTCACGGAAAAGGGGTGGCGACAACACCCGATTGCCTTCGATTTGATGGTGCTTCTCAAGTAACCAGTCTCGAGCTTCAAGGTGGAAACTCTAGGTCTATCGGAGTTGGTTATACCTGACAATAACAATGTTTTTTGCATCGTAACCTTGTTCAAGGCATTGCATGGATATACTTGGACTTGTTCTTCATGATAAAAATCTAGAATCTGACATTTGGTGTTTGGATGTGGTGACGGCACCGCTCAAGCATCGTTCCCTTCCTAAAGGCGTTGTTGTTGAAAAACATCATTGTCTTTATGGTGTCAAGAGTTGGTTGGTGCGGATATGATTGTTGATGTAGTTTGTTGATCATTATTTCAATTGCCTAGGTTTCTCTTTTTTTTCTAGTCAGACATAATTTTGGTCTTGTATGACTTTGCTAATTACCGACGTGTCTATTTGGGGCTGTTTGGTTGCCACCCTGATGCAAAATCGCCTGACCTGATGCTTCCGGCGTGAACCTTGTTTGGTTGGTGTCCTGAAACATTAGCCTAACCTGTGAAAGCTGCAGAAGCGATTAGCCAGGAGGTAGCCTCCGGCAATATGCTTAGCCTGAGTCAGGCCTCCAATTCTCCTGCTTGGGTGTGCCTGAAGCAAGGCAGATATTAAAAAATTATTTCTTTTGCAAAGATTTGATGGTTTGGAGTTCCTTATGCATTAATTGTACTGTTGAATGTCAGCCTAGCCAGGCCATCTTCAGGCGCCACATTTTATCAGGCACGTAACTCAGGGCGCCAACCAAACAGGCCCTTTGTATTTGTGCGTTGATGCTGCCTATGAGCCAACCAAACAGGCCCTTTGTATTTGTGCGTTGATGCTGCCTATAAGCATTCTAACTATGCAGAGATGGTTCCCTAAAAAAACTATGCAGAAATGGGGTGTGTGCTTATGGTGTTTGTATTCATTTGATGTTTTACTTTGAGTCAATAAAATCTAACCTTTGTTGAAGAGGAAGAAACACTGTTACAGTCCTTATCAATCATCTTGGCAACAGATACAAGTATTCAGAGGAATTCAGAAGAGGAGGAGAAGAAGAGGACATGTGAGGCTGGGGAAAGTGTTCACGAATAACTGAATTGAATGAATAAAACAGACTTCCGGAGCAGGGGTGCATACATTTTTCTGAACTCCTCACAAATTATGTTTAAAACATTTTATTTTTTATTTTTTATTTACATAAATAGGCATGCATGTGGTCTAAGTCTGTGTGAAACTTCGTTCAATAATAAGCTGCACAAAGAAGGCAATAATTTTGGCCTCAAAATCAACAAAAAAGAAAACAATCATATTTTTTCATTATTTGTCTTTTTTATCAGTCACATGCAAGCACATATATTGATGAAAATTTGGCCCGGTATACTACACTGCTATACATGCATCTACAAAAAAAAAAATCAAAATTTTCATGCTGTAAAAATCCTTTTGTTGAACTTCATAAAACCAGGCTCAGATGACAACATTTGGGGTGAAAAATGCATTTTCTATGATGCACGGACTATCCTTCGGTGTTCTGGTATGTTGATCTGCGTTTAAATAAGCCACATGTCTCCTCGAACACCTATGTATAAAAACCTCAAACAATATACTAATCAAAGTACTTTCCCAGATTTCCACTCTCTTCATGTGCACCCGGACTGCCGAACATGCATGCATTGCAGCATCCGGTACAGGACAAGGTCTGGAAAGGTTGAGTTTATTTTCGTAATGAGAAATTTACGGTGCATCTTGGAGTCAGTTTTCTGGTTGGGTTGCTAGCTAGGGTAGTATTGTTTATAAACAAGAAAAAAGAAGGTGCCACTTGTGCCGCTGAATGGGTAAATCCATTTACCAGAAAAAGGAAAAAAAAAGGTTCACCTCGTGTCACTCCCACGAGCGACATGGGCGCCTCCATCATGTCGGTGCCTACATCCTCCATCTCTCCGTCCCTCTCCTCGCCACCGCTGGCGGCAACTGGGCCTCTTCCTCCCTCTTGCGTGTCATCTGGGTGGCGTCGGACAGGACCACATCATCAAGGTCAATGTCCTCAATCCTCAACTGCAGCATCAACTCCTCGAGATCGGCCTCGCCAGCTCTTGGTGCAGAAGAACTAGTCGCCATGGAAACCCTAGGAGCATCATCGAGGAAGAAGTTCGAAAGGAAACACCCATAGAATACCTCCCAGACCACGTGTGCCAAGGCCAGGTATGCGTCACTAGGGCGTCCCTTTGTTAGCTCCAGTGAGGCGATGGAAGGAGAGATTAGTGATGAGGGAACGGTGGCTCAACTCCGGGTCGCCTAGGGCATCATTGTGGCGGCAGCTAGGGTTTCACCAAGCTACCCCCTTGAAAGCATGGTAATAAACAAAACCACTTTGCAACAATGCAGGAAGCATCTAGGAAGGACGTGGAGAAGGCATTTTGTGTGCTTCAAGATCGTTGGGGAATTGTGCGTGGCGCTGCAATGATATGGGAATCAAAAAATTTGTGACAGCTGATGACATGTTGTATTCTTTTGCACAATATGATTGTCGAGGATGAGGGTGATGGTGTAGCCCAAACCAATGATTTTGAAGCACCTAGAGAACACGTTGAAATCCCGGAAGATCAAGATGCAACTCAGCTCATGAATTTTCTGCAGATGCATCAGAATCTTCGAGGTCATCAGGTGTACGCGCAACTACTCAAGGGTCTTGTGGAGCATATGTGGACCCACAATGAAACCGAGAGAACTGATGTTTGAGTTGTGCACTTAATAATTTTAATGTTTATGTTCGGTACCAATATTTGTTATTTACGCGCAACATTGGCTTGTACCACTGACATGCATGGATTATCATGGATTTGAGACTCCGGATTTGAGATATGTAAATGTTGGGAGCGAAATATGAGGGCCTGTCCGGGTGCGCCCGCGGATGTGGACGGACGCGTCCGCAAACATATAGAGGGCCGGATTTACTAAACCCGGTTGTAGATGCTCTAGCCTTTGCTGAAGTGAAAAAACGCTGTTACAGTCCCTATCAATTATCTTGGCAGCAGATACAATCATACAAGTATTCAGAGGAATTCAGAAGAGGAGGACAAGAAGAGGAGTAGCATGTGATGTTGGAGAAAATGTTCACGAATAACTGAACTGAATGAATAAAGCGGACTTTCCGAGCACGGGTGCATTGAAGCACGTTTTTGGAACTCCTCAAAAATGATGTTTTAAAAGATTTTTTTTCTTTACATAAATATGCATGCATGTGGTCTAAGTATGTGTGAAATTTCGTTCAATAATACGTTATATTATACGCTGCACAACGAAGGCAAAATCTTGGCCTCAAAATCGACAAAAAAAAAAAACAAGCCCATTTTTTCATTATTTGTCTTTTTTAACTGTCACATGCAAGCACGTATATTCATGAAAATTTGGCCAATATACTACACCGCTATATATGTATGTAAAAAAATCTAAATTGTTCATGCTGCAAAAATCCTCTCGTTGAACTTCATAAAACCAGGCTTCGATTGTAGAATTGTATTGAATAATTGTTGATGCAATATTGTGCCGATACAAGAAGTATATATAAGAGCTAAGCCGCACCTGACCTACCCTTATTACAAACCGAGTAGGAGTCATAATCCTAATACAAGTTGTATTCTAACATCCCCTGCAGTGTCAACGGTAGGCTTGACGACGTTGAGACTGAAATGAATGTCTTGAAATGGAGTAGTCGCCGGGCCTTTAGTAAAGATATCAGCAAACTGAGCAGAAGTAGGCACGTGGAGAACGCGAACTTGACCGAGAGCCACCTTCTCTCGAACAAAATGAATGTCGATCTCAATATGCTTGGTGCGACGGTGTTGAACCGGATTTCCTGACATGTAGACAGCTGAAATATTATCACAGTAAACAATGGTAGCTTGCTCAATAGGACGGTGCAGCTCCGACAGCAACTGGCGCAAGCAAACCGTATCAGCAACCGCATGAGCCACAGCGCGGTACTCAGCTTCAGCAGACGAGCGGAAGACCGTAACCTGCCTTTTTGAAGACCAAGAAACCAAATTGTTACCAAGAAAAACACAAAATCCGGATGTGGACCTACGAGTATCTAGACAACCAGCCCAGTCTGCATCAGAGTAAGCTGTCAAGGAGGTGGGAGGATTTGTTGATATGAAGACCTAAGTCTAGTGTGCCTTTGAGATACCAAAGAATATGTTTGAAATGATTGTAGTGTGGAATACGAGGATCATGCATGTATAAACAAGCTTGTTGGACAGTAAAAGAAATTTC